GGCGGACTGTAATTTGCGACTTTTCGTCACAATATATATATACTGTGTATATATATATATTAAAGAATGTAACTTCTCCATTCCAAGTTGCGACTCCCAAAAGAAATTGTATTTCAGTACTCGAGTACTTTCGAGTTTCTTCAAGAATTCCTTTCGTGCCTTCCAAAAAGCTTTACAGTTTCACTACGTCCATCGTCTGTTAGCCCGCAGCGTATCCAGCTTCTACGGCGGCCTATGTGCCTACTTTCTTATGTACCTGTTCGGTATCTAGCTTATACTTAGGATACGTGTATAAGACATATGTATAGGTACCACAAGTATATGACTGAAAGATCCTATGATATAATATACCTTACACCGTCCTGCATGTATATAAGCTACAACAAGTGGGTCCGCATGTACTTCCTTCCTTCTGTGAAACTATACCTGCTACGTAACACATACCTATACTAGTTCATAAGGGCGGATGAGTATCCCAGGAGTAAAACGCAACGAAGCAGCCAACTAGGAGGCTGTCAATGCACGCCGGAGTCAAAGGGATGAGGGTTGGAACGTCTAGACATCATCCTCTTCCACCTTTTCACCCTTATAGCATATACTATATGCCATGTCAGATATATATGCCTATACTGTACTCTCTGTTCAAGGGATGAAAATTATGGGTGTGATAACTATAGTTATCGTCCGTATATATCGTTGACAATATACCAGTGTGGACCCTCTGTCTTGTAATATTTATCACAGTCATATATGGCAGACATGGATATGCGTGAGCATATGTTTACATGGCTCCTGGAACCTCTAGTACATTGCTCGAATTTAGCTAAGGTCAGATTATTTCAGTAATCCTGGGAAATGTTGAAAGGGAAAGTGAGTTGGGTTGCCGTGCTGATACTGGGCGCACTTTACCCTTACTATTATCATTGGGAACAATCTTTATTGCCAAGGGTGAGGGTTCAGGTATTTACGTTACTTTGTAGAAATCGTGTAGGTATCCTTAGGTAGGATTCGTAGATAGGTTATATATAATATATATATATGTATCAGTCTTGTCTGATTACGTACTGTCTTTACTACGGATAGTTTTTTGAATTTTTTCAGCGATCAAGATTTACCATCTGCTTCTCTTCGTACTCGGTAATGGCTGATTCCGTCTCTTTGTGAAATGTAGACACGTGTCTATATTCTTCTAACTGAAAATAAAAATCGCATTGTTCTTATACGTTAAGTGGCACATATAGCTGATGCATCACGAAACGTAGCAAGTTATTTGCCGAGACTCTGCGTGCAACGCTGCACCGGTCTCGTAACCTGCAAGGAAATGGACCCTTGGAGTATTTACCTCGAGCACTATTCCCCGAACCAACTCTAGTGCTGTGTTGCTTGACTTTTCTCAAAAGCATGTCGATGACCGAGTTCGATAAAAAAAAAATTGAAAGCATACTCGCATTCCACCGAGTGTGGATTTCTACTAGGAACTTTACTTACTTTTATATATATTTATATATATACAGATAAGTGTGGGTCTCTTAGAATCGAGGCAAGATACCATACCCACCCATAGTCCAATCTCCAGTCGAGTTTCTGATTTATGAACGTTCACGTAACTTACCCGGAAGATATTGCGCTTCGGATATCCGGTAAACCTGTATCGCGATGAAGACCTCTTTCGAGGCTTACTTCCGTTTGTTTCATGCCTCGATAGCATTCAACCCCACGTGCCTTTACGATATATGCTCACGAATCTTGAAAACGCATTAAACATAACCAACTGTATGCGTATGACACTCCGGGAATGGTCGAAGACGACTGAAAATCGAGAATAAATTTGCACCTTCATAAAAGTCAAAGCTGCCAATCCGACGTGACGTAATTCCAATTTATACTCGCTGCTAATCCAAGAGGGCTTATTACATGTCTACAGTGTATGTTGTATTATACTATACCTATATATGTATATATATCTGTATAGCGAAGATCGGTGCAGAAGCACGTAGTATCGTCTCCTCTCTTAGGTACCCTATAGTTTATTACACATAGACAGTATGGCTTATTGGACATTTCGCTCGAGTATTATGTTATCCACCTACACGATACTATGACATCGTATACGTAGACATTCGGAAGTACTATCCAGTTAACTTCCATAGTCACCGCGCACGTACCGGGAACACAGCCTCGGGCTCCTCAAATACGTATACGCGTATCACTGAAATCTCTCTTACCAAGCGATATTGATTAAACTCGTAAAATTTACTAGCGCTCTCCTATAGTTCAAGGGACGATAACCACGTGTGTCGTAAAGGACACTTCTGATGGCGATCAACGAGCCTCCGCGTATGGTTACCCCAGTATACTTTTTTTATGGAGAGATCTACATCATACGCGGTGAAGCATCAGGAATAATCGTATAGGTATATATTGAGACACAGTAAGAAGTAGTGTAAAAATTTTCTATGATCCGATCATCTGTGCAACGTAGTTGAAATAGCTGGGATTCCAATAACTGTAGCCTCCCAAAATCCTGTGGCCTCCAGATCCAATTGGCATCCCGACGATGTCCGTAATAAGCGTCGACGGATAACGTTTTCGCAGGTTACTCGATGCCTCGAATCCGAAGCCAATTAGGCAGATAACCCATCAGTAGTAAACAATGGGATGCCATCCTAACCTGTACCAGAAATTGATGTCAGGACTCTCTAGCTGGAATCGCTCCTGTACACACAGTAGCTGCAGACTCTGTGCACGGCGTTGCATAGAAGTACCAATATGCAGTTGGCAATAGGTCGTCACGTCGTTGCCGAAAGGACCTATAGGTCTGTCAAATCGCTGGTTCGAGTCGGTTCAGATCCACTGGACAATGTTCAACGACAGGATATTAATGCACTTCGTTCTACCTCTCGGATGACGTTCCCGTGCCACACTGCTAGCATTACTTCCTGTCACGTGCGCTGAGTTAATTAGCCAATACCGCACAACGTCAGTTAATTACAAGTAAAGTAGGGTACACACTGGTTTCGGGTTATACCCACTTGCGTAGCTGGTGCAACTTGTTATGGTTAGATACACTGTCGCGCGTGCGATAAAGTGTGATAAAGTCACTCTTGTTCCATCAAAAGAACCTATGTTACGTTCATAGATACGTATGGGAAGTCTCTGTCCTGGAAAAATCTAAAGGCACGTACACACGATCGCGAGAACTTATAGTCTCGTGAGCACGTGAACCTTCCTCTATTTTAGGAACGTGATTTCATCCCGTGAACAAATCGCATTTACCTCGAGTGTCACTTTATTTTTGTTCCTCTGGCGCTGCTACGTCTTCGCTTCTCAAGATTCCAGGAGGCGGATAAGGGTAGTGAGAAAGTTTTAAAGGATTTTAAATTGAAACTAATTGATGTGACTGAGACGCTGATATGAGATCTGACGATAAGTTTTCGATGTAATTGAGAAGAAGAAGGAAAATTTATATTTTTCACAAATATACAATATTCCTGTTGTTAACTGTGTCATATTGAAATACAATTGTGGCTTATTTTCTAATCGAACACGTTCGTTTCGTTCAAGCTGATTGCGCAACGGATGATTTAAGCTCGACTCTGGAAGTAGCTTCTCGATAATCGCACTTCAATCCAGGAGGTCGTAATTAAGAGGATTTTACGTAAAAGCTCGTTAGCGTTAACGTGCGCTGAACGTTTCACGCATAATTTAACGCACTGTTATGCGTAGCTGGTTGCGTACGCGTAACAACGTAGTATCGCTATAGAAACAACCCCGAAGCGAAATCCTAATGGTATAAATTAATGAGTCATTACGTATGTGTTACAATACAGCAGTTTTCGTCGTTGAGACGTTTCCCAATTCTCTCGCGTGAAACGATATTGTTTATTCGGCTCTGTACGCGAGTAACGTGATTCGCCAAGTAAATTGCAATTATCGAGATACAAAATTGGCTATTTGAGATTCGTGCGGGTTCGGGTGGGAAAAGATAAAATGAAAGTTAAAATATATTTGCGGCTACCCAAAGTGAAGGGGCGCGCTCCGCAAGTTATTTCGCGGGGATGGATGTAAATCATTTATAATTGACACATTTATAAACGGCCGGTTTTATTTTTCATCGTTAGGGGATACGAGCCCTGGGAAGAGCTTCTATAACTCATTGCATTTCTGGATACTTTTCGAAAGGGGTGGGTTCGATTTGAAAGCGCCAAACCGTTTGGGTGCTGAAGCACACATGTACGCTATCTACGTACGTGCAGGTAAACGCGCATGAGAGAAATCGTGGTAACTGTGGTACAAATAAAAAGAGAAAAAAATGATTAAAAAAATATATTTTTATTTTTGCAATTTTATTTTCTTTATTGTACCATTTTTCTTACGCGAGGCAACGAATTAGTTATTGTTAATTAACATAGCGACGTTGTAACTAATAATTGTATGGACTTGCCTATTAGGTACTCGTATGCGTTAATCGACGCGTATGTTATGTATGCATAAAATAAGCATACACTTTATTGTATATGTATGAAGGTTCGTGTATTCATACATACATTATCCACAGATGCATTATACATTACACACATATCTGACATATGGATTTTGAAAAACAGGATTTTCTATGGCTAGATAGAAATATAAACATAAGCAGTCCACACCGGCGATTCGAAAAATACGAAAAGCACACAAAAGGAGCTTTGTGAGTGTCGCTTTATGCTTTATGTACGACCCACTCAGCGTTTTGATAAACGTCGCGAACTTCGCAAGCGAGCATAATGGGATTTCTTTTTATAACGAAATGATACCCCCCCAGGAAATCGTCAAAGTGATCCTCAAATCGGCGACACGTTGTGATGATTATGGGGGAAAAAAGTTTTGCTCAGTCTCGAGGCCAGAAGTGCTCGGATATTAATACTTATGCTAGCATCTCAAGTTTATATTATCAGATAGCCATTGCTGTAGTATAGAATCTTGATGAGATATGTGATTTTGTGTTTCTGTTTCAGATTTCATCGATCACCAGTTTCTGCAGGGTGAGTAATTTACTGGCTATAAACGTCTGGCACTTATGTCCTATGTGTAGACGAGTCCAGTGTGTTCTGACAAATCGAAAATAATGAAGTCTAACGTAACACACGTGTCACTGCATAAAAAGAATTCATATGTTTGGTTTTCCATCAAATATTTTTTATTTTTCAATTGTAGCACATATTTATGTTATTTAATGGAAAAGCACGTGTGACTGGCTGAGGCTTATACTGCTTGCAAACTGTCAAAAAACACGTGGACGTCGTGACTATATATAGATAGTAAACCTATAGTAAAGGTACAAGATTCAATGATGGCTGGAATTACGATCAAGTATCAGTAAATTATCGGGAATTTCTGTCAGTCTTGCTTAAACGAAAGCGTCACTCTATCCAGTTTGAAAATTCATATATTATATGTATACGTCACGTGTTATTTAAGCTGAACGTCATTAAAATGAAATAATTTTATACATTTATAGATATGATATTTCTGGATAGACGTATAATCAGATATGATTACTAATTCATATATAGTGCATAATCGAGAATGAAGTTTATAATTAAAAATTCTTTTTAACTGTATCAGATAAAATTAATAATAATTCATTATTCGATATCTCAAATCGATACTGATTGAACGTTGCATCCATAGTATTATAAGGCGTCAATTTAAATTACAGGTTTAAGTATGGTAATATCTCCCGGCTAGATTGCACTTGGGTACCGACACCAGACGATTAAGCTTCGTTTACAAGTAAACCCTTTTTTTCTTGCGTCAACTACATCGGCTGCAGATTGCTACGTAGTCCCGCATAATTTACGGACCTCAACGCCCACGGCAACCGTAGAGAAAACCTTAGCTTTTTATTCTCTAATTTGTCTGTCCATTTATATCTCTTTTATCTTCGTTTCGACCTACAACCCTCCTGCTCGCACTCAGTAGCCGTGGTCGAGGGCGTCGATTTTTCTCCAGTAGATACCACCCATCAGTACTCAGACTCATTTAGGCCCAAGCCGCACATTCCGTCCTTTAGAAACCGCGTCCAATTTGTGGGGATAGGATAGGTCCTACACTCCAGGTCCAAGAAAGTGAGAGGAGTGAAATCGAAGAAACGAATGAAAGAGAGATAGAGAGAGATAGAGAGAGAAAGAAAATGGCGGTAGATTCGAGTCGAAGCAAAAGAATCGACGGGATGCGCGAGTGACGTAACATATTGATATCTTTGTGAGCTAAAGAGGAGGGACGAAAGATCGCCGAAGGTGAAAAACTTATGAGAGTCCAAGAGCTTCGGGAATGTGGTACGCGGTACATACGTCGGTACATACAGCTACGTAGCTACATAAGGGCTGCCGGGAGGACTGGGAACGCGGCTTAAGAACATAAGCGGATGGATGGTGGGAATCTTGTTAAAAATGATCACCATTTTTCCCGAGCGAAGCTCAAGAGCATTCTTCACTCTTTCTCTTTGGCTTTCTTTTGGACCTTTCCTTCTATTCTCCTTTTCCTCTCTCTACCTC